GATTTCAGTTAGTTTATTCCAGTCTTTACGTTCTCTTTTTTTAGACAGGCTTATCTGAGAGACACAAGCGGGCTTGCCAATCTCAGACGGACACGGCAAAGGGAGGAGATCTTTTCGAGGTTCAATTCATATTTTAGCTCAGAATGCACTGCCTCATCTACCGTACTTTCTGGTCACGCAGATCTTGTTGTTTGTTGCCTAGAATGACTGACAGTTCAACAACAGCAGCATGTGATTTGGTCATTGCACAGCATGACCCTTGCCTTCGGGATCTATGTCGAAAGCGAAAATTAACTTCCCTCGACCGCCTAGAAAATATTGCCTAAAAAGAGGCGGTGAGTTCAAAGCTAAGTATTGTAGAAAGCAGACCGTGAACGAATCTAACTCATTACTTAGATTGTGCCTTTGTGCAGTGCATCTCTGGAAATAATTCTTCACGGAACAAACTTCATTTATGTCCGACGCAAACAAAATGGTCAATAAATTGGATGATTGAGCAATGTCGACGTTTCAGCCTGTATTTCACGGGCCTTCTTCAGGGCAAGGTACTTGCTGAGTTTCAAAAGTCTTTCTTGTAGCTGTTCCTTGCAAATCCGACCGGCAGAAGGCCCAGGGGACGGCCAAGATTAACCTGGTGCAAACATATGGAAGGAGCCTGCTCCAGACTCCAGTTGTCTTTTGCCGAAGCTCAGACTCTGGCACAGGATCGGGAACGTTGGAAGCTCTGTCTGACGCGTCAGCCCCTGCGACCCGAAAGGAGAAGCGGCAATGGAAGGTGAAGATGAAGTCTCTCTTGAAGACCGCAGCGGTTCAAATGTTCGAAGGCCGAGAAGCTAGAAGACCATTTTCATGTTCGAAACGGATGTACCGGTCAATCATCTGACTGACCGTATTGTTTGCGCTGTGCATAAATAAACCGAGTTTTATGTTGTTATCAGCATGACCGCAAAGGCACGGGCGAAATACTGAAACAACATGACACATACCTGCTTTTCAGCTATACTGTAGCAAATAAAACAAAGAACATTCGATTCCCTTCAACAAACTCCGATACGTATGTTTTCCGCGATTTTCTCAGCCATAATCGTAATACGAGCATCAGTTAATAGATCGGTATCAAATAAATAACGCCCGTAATTTAAAATTACTTTCATTGAGCTTGTCCGGAGAATGCAGTGAATGTTTTAATGTCTAATGCCTACCATCGGCCATCTGCAGGAACAAAGCTCTGAAAAGACTTTAAAGAAAGGATGCAAGTTCAATAAACTAAGTCGTATCTTCTTCCAATCGCGCAGACTACAGCACAACGAGGAATGTTCAAAGAATTTTATCTGAATCCTTACGCAAAGTGAAATGCGAATGAACTGAAGTTGAAGCAAGCAGGATCGTCTTTTGTCGTTGTGTCGTGTCACCAAAAGTTAGCAGGTTAGCTAAGACTGTGATCTCTAAAAGCTGAAGCTACTACTAGAAGCTGGATTTCACAATGATAATTGGCTGTCTTCACTGCTGAGGAAATTTCCTAGAAGAAACCGTTGACCACATGCCCTCAGACTCATGTTTTAAAACAGAGACTACAAAGAGCCCAGCATTCCGAAGAACCACGTCGTCCATAATTCGGAAAGAAATAAATTCTTGAGAAATTCTCCAGGCTGTCACGGGTGAATGAACAAGAAGATACTTGGGTGATTATTGCATCGTATTCCGGTGTCAGTATTTTGAAAGATGATATTCTTCGGCAGTGGAATCAGAAAGCTGCCATTCTTGGCAGCTGCCTCAGAACACAGGGTCATATTTTGACTTTCTGCATATTTCCCAACGGACAGTGACAATTTTGTTGGTGCTCGAACATGTCTCTGTTCGACCCATTACAGTGACGCAGTGAATTCATCGCATGCACTGCATATGCTTAAATACCATAGAGCCATATGCTGGTTAAATGGTCCCCCTAGGCGATTAAAAAAAAGGAGCCGTACAATATTGAGCTACAGTCTGGAGTAATGACTGTCATCCATTTTTTCAGTTCATAAAAGTTTTTATTCCACTTTTATTTGTTCCATTTTTCTCCCTTAAAGTTTAGTCATATGTCTTCGCATTCACGCCATGAATAGAAACTATTTTGCGAAACGTCGTTATCCAAGCACGAGCAATCCATAATAAGTTTGTTTGCTTTTTCTCACCAATGGCTCGCCAGTTGAAAATATAAAGTATTGCTGATAGTGCTCTAGTTATTTAAATAATGGTTATTATAGCATAAATTATTTAAAGCTTGAAAATCTTTCATAGGTGTTAATTTAGCGTCATTGCCCGCCTCTTCTCAAAGGACACGATCGGGTTATTGCACATTAACGCTTTTGTGAGCATCTTCAGTTTCTACTGCTTATGTCCTAGAACAGCCTTGAAAATAACACTAGAATGTCTCCCGTTGCATGATTGCCTATTTTGCTTACTGTAACAGTTTTTACTAATTAAATACAAGTCTAATTTTACTGCGTATAACCTGTCATCCCAGTGCTATGAATTGCTACGATGGCAAATCCGACGGCGTGACTTTCATTACGTTGCTACCTGAGAAGCACAGCTCGTCTCTTTCGCTAGTTTTCCAAAGCGTACTGTAATCTCCGACATCCTCAGGATTTTGTTCACTTTCGTTTTTTATGATTCCAGACACATACTGATCTTATTGGTCTGCCATACGTAAGTCAGGAATAATTTAATTTAAAATATGCTAAAGGCAGACAACAGCAATGAAGACAGACGTCATGGTTCCGGCCGTTTATTCTGCAGTATCGAAATAATTGTTCGACCATATGCCGAAGAGCCGTTGTTCTCCGTTGCCAGAAAGCCCAAAAGTTTAAATCCTCAAGAGAACCTCAGGAAAACAAAGCTGAGGGTTTTCGATTGCCTCGAAACTTCCCCCTTTATTGCACCGTCGAGTGATATTGCACAGTGCACAAGAGGTGTGCTCCGAACTTCGGAGGCACCGGATTCTATTATATCCTGCTTGAGTGCAATCTTTGTCTGATTCATGAATGCTCATGAGCAAACAATTTGCCACATATTGCTTGGTCGGCAGAACGTTGTACTCAGATCCGGCAAGTCCTGCGTTCGAGCGCTGGTCGGGGGTCTGGGTGACTCGTTTTCTCAGGTTGACAGATGCACGCCACACCGTGGGAAGAAAACAGGAGACTGCACGCTGTGCTTGCAAAATATTTGCTGGCGACCCTGTGTTTAAAAAATAAAGGCACTCATGGCTTTCGGCATAGAAATGGAGACTAGCGTCTCAACCACTAGCTTCGAAAAAAATGGCTCTATCATGAAAGAGTAGGGCAGACCGACTGCTGAACGGCAATGGCATCGAATTTTCATTTTCCTTCCTTTATCTTTTGTTACACCTCTGTTCGACGCTTTAAAATCATGTCAAATGTTCTGTCCAATCGAAAGCGACTTTTCGTTCTCAAAATGTGGACCCTTGTGAACGAAGCCAGAAACAAGACTCCATCTGGCGATCGAAGTTTACACAGAGAGGATATCACAAGGAGATCGGGTAAGAAAAAAGCTGCGAGTTTTTCGACAACAAATCACCAGCGTTACAAAGCCAGAATTTGCTACCACTTGAGAAAAAGGCAAAAAGTCGGCAGAATGAAGAGAGGCGCACGATGAGGAACCGTGATGCAGCAGTCGACCCGCATCCTCGTCGAACTCAAGCCAAACTTCCCTCTCATCTTCATCGCACCAGTTTTACAAGCTGACTTTTTGTAGAGACTTTTTGTGCCGTTGGAAGCTGTGCAAGGTACGCATCGCATCTCTTTTAGCGTCAACAACCGAATACTTCAGTGAGTACTCCTGCAGAAGCGCAACAGCCGAAGATCGAAACTTGATGCACCGAACAGACTTTTCGGTAGAACCACGAAACCTCGGTTCAAGAGATCCAAAAGTTTCAAAGATGCAGTTCCCAAAACATCAGCGTCTCCTTGCTTCTGTTCATAGATAATAATGATTATGAACATCTCTGATATTTCATTTCAATGAAATAGTGGATTTTTGAGATAGCCACTGACTCCATTTTGCCTCCAAAAACTGAAGAGAAAGTTCCTCCCCGCCCGTCATTCGGAGCATGGCTGACACTTCGAAATTTCTCATTATCCTCCCCAATAGCAGATTTATTGTTTCCTCGAAGTTCGACTTAGAAAGCTAGAACAAACGATTTCAAATTCCAACGACAAATCGGCTTGTAATCTCGCGCAGCCGCCATGTCATCATAAAACAAAAATAGGAATCATTGAAATTTACAAGCAAGACAATGGCATCGCACCGATGAGCAATATCGACATTGAAATCAAATAACCGATAAAAATGACATCAGCCAATGATATAGATTCAGACTTGCCAGCGGAACACCATTCGCTGTCTCTGTGACGTTGCACAGCCACCTCAATGCAACCGTCATCAAAATTCTTACAAAGGCAGGTGCTTCAGTGAAGGAAAGCCTCCCATCGATATACTAGCATGATGGATTAAACGAACTAGTTGATTCTGATGACCAGTGTCCAACTATACAGATTCGAAACGGTGAACGCAGACCAACTGTTTACAACAACCACCCGCCCCTGGGCTCAAAGAGCACGTGCCAAAATGACAGCGTTAAGACGTCATACGCCGTTGACGATCTTTAGCAATTAATAATATAATGC